GATCAGCAGTAACGAGTGACTTTTGGAAAACAAAACATGCAAGTAATGTACTCCAGGGTTCCTTATAATGAAGGCAGTATCAATTATTCAAATTTAAACAAACAGTATATTCAATGCACCTGGAGTTAAACCGTGGTTTACTCACTGCTCAGTGTCTTAACAGTTCACTGTACAGTTCACAACAGTCACACTGTAGTTTTACATATAGCCTACATTTCTACATTTCTATTACTAGTTCAACTGATAATGCTTAGCGAGCTCTCAGACTTGCAATACATTAACAGCTGTACAGTTTGTCTCCTCTGTCACTCATTCACAGATTAATACTTAGAAATCAATGTGAATAATAACATAGCGTTGCCTTCTCCTTTACAGCCACGTCACTCACAGAATATTTTGCACAATCTTGAAAACAGCTCTGGGGAAGGCAGGGTCAGAAAACTCATTTGTCAAAATGTTCAAAATTACTCAAAGTTTTAAATTGAAAAGACACTAAAGAGAAGTGAGATATTTAAATGGATGGAAATGGGAACATCAATTCTGTGCTATTTTTTTTTCATTAGGAACAGCAAAAAAAAATTAATTGAATGATATTTGAATTCAATTATGCTTCATATTAATTGAGAATAATCGGTAGGGTGATTTATGATTGACCTTGGGTAAAATGTGGGATGTGGTTTTGAGTGGTGGATAATATTTAGCAATATGTATGACACATTATCACTGAATATTATTATTATAAATTGATGCAAATTATTATACAGTTTGAGAAGGGTGCATATTTGTGATTCATTTGAGCTCCTATAAGTTCATTCACAACTCAGCTGTGCTTTGCAACCAGAAATAGAGAGGCAAAACCTACTTTGGCATGTATATGTAATCAGAGTATGAGCCATTTGACTAATTGATTCAGCTAAGCTTGATCACTTCAACTGCTCACTTCTGTCTCATTAGTCTTTATATATAGTCTCAAAAGCGTGTAGTTTTCCAGGCAGGGGCTGGTTTGCGGAAATTAATGGAGGACACCCAAGAGTAATTACAAAAACACAAGAATATCTGAAAATGACCTCCTGTCTAACTCAAGACGTCTCAATTTTACCAACAAGAAATTACAGGGAAGAAGAGTTGGCAAACGTTTCACTGTTGGACTGAATTATTTTGTTAGGCAGAAAACTGGCAATTGTTGCAAATACTCTAGTTAGTGTAGGATAGTGTGTGTGAAAATAATATTGAGGTTCATAGTCTGCCTTTGAGGAGTCATAAATTGGAAGTAAAAAGAGCAAAAGCAAGCAAACATATGACAGAAACAAAACAAACCAAAAACAATATCTATTCTAGCCAACATTATTATTATATTAAAAACAAAAACAAAAATGAGTGAAATACATGTTTTGTTTATTGCTTTATCAGATTTGCTATTTGCTATTAATTGTCATCAGGTGCTGATTAGCAGGGCATCCAACAGGTTCACATTCCAAATGGTAAATGTACTGTACTTGCATAGCACCTTTATCTTCCCACTCATTTACCCATTCTCACACATTCACACAGTGATGGCAAAGGCCATCACAAACAGAAACAAATTCATTCATTCACACTGATAGACCGATGCACATGATCTTGCTCAAGGACATTTCGACATGCAGTAGGAGGAGACAGGGATCAAACCACCAACCTTCTGATTACTGGATGTACCTCCTTAGCCAAGGCTGTCTAAAACATTACAATATACCAAAGTAAATATAATTCTACCATACATGATTAAATTAATATTATATTAACATAATAAGATGTAACTTATATTAATGTGCAAAAATGATCTATTCCATCCAGATCTATGCCACTCTTATGAGCTATTTGTAAACAGTTAAGTTAAACTGACTATTCATGTCTATTTATTATGGTCGCTGTTCTGATTTCAGGTTGACCTGACTGCACTGCATTTTTAACAAAGAGTTGCAGGCCGTTCCCCTGTCAGACGGGTACAGGCTATTTTATTTGATGTTACAAAGCATATACTGACACATAAGACAAAGGGTTATGCTGTCGCTGTCTCAGTGAATCCACCATCAGCTGTGGGTGTTGCACAGCAAACAAAAGTCTGCATCCAAAAGGTTTTGCACATTATACAGAAAAAATGTTTAAATAGTGCATAAAAGTTGTTACGCTGGACTTGGAAAATAAAGCAATAAAACCAAAAAGCAAAAGAGACTGAGCCAGTAAATCATCACCCTAATGGAGCATGTGACCCAAACGTAAGCTTCTGCTCCACTGAAGAGACTAAAATTAGAGGCAGACAAAAATATCAGATCAGTGTGGATGGATGAGGAGACTTTAATATTCCTAAAATTAATACATGAAACATAAATACCATATTTCCCTCATGCTTACTTAATTACCTTTTGTCTGGTTCTGTATTTTGCTCTTTGCTGTGTGGCCAGCAACCTTTCCACTGAGTTAGGTACTTACCTGCCTTGAGCATCTGGATTTATTATGCTACCAGTGACAGACTTAATTGTGAGCCAGTCCTGGCCATGGGCATGACTGTGAGGGATTAGAGGATTGTGTTAGTAGAGGCAGAAGTTGTGCTCGCATCAGCTCATCAGCTAACAATGACTAACACAGTTTCCAAATCAATCTTCTGACTGAAATCCTGAGAGACGACAGATTGCCTGAAGAGGACACACAAAGGGACAGAGAGACTGACTGGAGTAGGTCAAAAGGCCCAGTTGAGCAGTCAGGCAGAGGAACAAAAGGAAGGTCCCAAGATAGATTTTTGTGAGTCATGGGAGGAAGCTGCTTACTTCATCATCACCAGTCTTCCAGAGCAAGCCAGTTCAGTCAGGAGGGACTTCATTTAGAATGAACAAATGTACTTAAGTCTTTGGTGAATGGACCCCATTGTGACATCATCATATTTAAAGGGGTTGGGGAAGCTGTGATTAGTATAGGAAACCCCCCTCATGGAGTCTAGACACTGGTGGTGGTGATTGGATGAAGAGAAAGCTGATGATCTGGATGTGATGAAGAGTGGATGAATCCAACCTGGGCACTGGATATGATGAACTGAAGGTGAATAGAGTACTAAGAGTACAATGCTTTTTAAATAGATTTTACTGTTGACACGTTGATGCTTTACACTACATGTCACCCATTCACACACATTTGTACACTGATTGCAGTGGCTGCCAGGCAAGGTGCCACATTGCTCACCAGAAATTAATTAATCCCATTCACACACAGCAGTTAGTATCTTGCCCAAGGACATTTCGACATGCAGACACATGCATGAGGGTATTGTAGACAGCTTTTTGACTAAGCAGTCAAAACTAAAGCTTTAACCAATTTAAACCAGCAGCTTCGTAGTTTATTTGAACTGCTTTAGTTTGACCAGATATTAGATTACCAGATATATAGATACCAGATTTAAAGGTCTTTACTATGATCTTGTTGTCATGTTTATGGCAAGACCAGTGCAGTATGCGATTACACATCCAACAGAGAGCAACATTGTTTCTGGACCTATACTGTTTCGTTTTATCTCTGGTTTGGTCCACCAACTCCTGAGGAGAAATATTACGATTACTGCTTTAAAAGCAATCTTTTCATTACAATTTGAAGGAGAAAGAATTTTTCCATGTGTCATAGATTTGTGACAAATTGAAGGAAAATCTACATAAAGTGTCTAAATAAAGTGCTGGAACTTTGAGAACAGCTTCAGATCCACATAGATTGGATGCACTAAGGGGTGACAGAGTGCTCCAAAACCTCCCACCGGCGCTCAGCTGGGTTGAGATCTGGTGACCTTGAAGCCTATAGCAAATGATTCACTTTATTTCCATGCCCATCAAACTGTTCAGTGGCCTGTTGTGTCCTGTATGTCACCATCTGCATTTGTTTATACCCTCATTTATTCATGTTTTTCTTTAATTTGTAACCCATCTGTATGTTTGACAAACATCATCCTCATTTTCATGCCAGGCACATGTCCTCCAGCACATCATGACTGTGAAATATATTGACCACGTGAAATACAAAAAAAAAACAAAATCCAATCTGGGCAACTTCAGGTGGCATTTCAAATAGTGTAGTTATAGTAGTGATAGTTTATTAAACAAGTGGAACCATGGTTGTAATGGCTTGTATTGTTAGTACCCATGTTTTGGTTTGGTTTTAAATTAAAAAAAATTAAGATATTACCATCAACCTTTTTACATTTTTATAAAAATATAAGGTTATTACTTAAATCACTACATTATTTTAAATGTTGTTATAGTCTAAATCAGTAGTTTTCATTATTTTTGTGTCCAAGGCACACTTGTATTCATATCCTTGAAAAATAGCCTCTATAACGTGTGTTATCACCCCAATCCCTCTGTAAATGTTTATTTTTATTTACTAATGCCACAATAAATAGACAAACATGTATGTTTATTAACAAAACAATTCAAGAATTAATTTGAAAGATACCCATTTAAACCAGACAGAGAGAGAGAGAGGAGGGGTAGATCTGGCCTAAGTGGGCAGCATCCCTGGTTGAGCACAATGTATTCACTTTTTACAGACCAAGCTAAGAAGAAAGAGAGAGAATGAAAACTAATCTAACCAACGGAGGCAACGAGTACAGATTAACCTGAGTGCGGGTGGGAAGAAAAATATCATCATCAGGGCCTTGGAAAGCAGTGTGTAAAGAGGTGAGCAGAATTAAGTTTATGATTGCGAAGACTGACATGCTTGAAATTCTATTCCAAGCATTTCCTGTTCAATTTCTGAATAATTACCGTAGCTGGATTTTATTAATTATCCCTGTCATGATGTTGTCAATCACAGACAAATACTGACCTCTACTGTAGATGATGTGCAAGTCAAGCACCCGAAGTGTAGTACAAATTCGCACTGTACTGCACTACGACTGCTGCAGTCCTCTAAATACACAGGATTCACACACTCACCCTGACTTCTTGTTTGGTGACATTTAAAGGCTAAAAATTGACATGATACTTGTCAAATTATCCATATTTTATTACCCATACAAGAGGCCTCAGTTTTTATAATAATCATCTTGCCAAGTCAGAAAATCCTGGTGAATTCCTTCATTTTAAATCGACTACAGTGTCTGCGCAGACATCTGTCACTTCTACACTGGATGTTTTTCTGTGTGGATCTCAAGAAGCAGCGGTTCCACACACAGTCGCTTCAGATCAGTGCACCATGGACCCGAAGGTCTGACGGCGAGGGAGGAGTCCCGCTTGGATGTTCAACGCTCATCTTTTCATCCTCTTGTCCTCAGTAGTAATAGCTTCCAAAAACCGCCACCACACAGACCAAGCTGTCCTACAGAGGTAAAACACAATTCATTGTAAAAGAAGTCTTTGAGAAGTCTGTCCCCCCCCCTCACATCTACACAAAGTCACCTACGTTCATGAAAACATCTTCTGCATAGTTGTCTGTGTCAGCATCCCACAAACACCTTGAGGACATCCTGATAAACACGAGAAGACAGACAGTGTCAAGCATTCACTTATGAAAAAACTTGTACACATTTTCAATTTAAAATGCTGTTTACTAACACTGATGATGTAAATGCAAGGGGCAGATCTTAGTCAGTATCAGCTACTATGAAAATATTTCTTGAATAATGCTATTTCAGTACCGTAATCACACAACAGGAAAAAAGGCTACAAATCAAATCAAATGATGTTAAATAACACTGTTAGCATTATGTCAGTCAGTAAATGGAAACATCCCTGGAATTCTCCAATATCTTCTTAACACATTTAAATAAATTGGAGTAAAACTTCTTGTGTCGCTGACAAGTAATTAATGAAAGGCTGCTGCTAAGAAGGGCCAAAGTTATCTAATCTCTGGCTGCCCCTCAGTCTCTGTTCCCTACAGTACAAAACAACAACCTGCTAATTACAGTAGTTTTACAAATTGTAAAAGATATAGTTTGTTTATCTAGTACCAAATGATCACTCACTTGACTCCTTGTCCTCGTTGTTCTCCAATGACCACCTGCACAACAAGCTTATATCTGTCGAATCCTGCACCTGTTGAGGAAAGGAAATGAGCTGTAACAGGAGAACACCACGCTGGAATAATACAGTGGTGAGTGAATACACTACATTCAATGTGTAGCATTTATTTAAGCTAAAGCTTTAAACCATTTTACTAGTAGGATTTGTTTTAATAGGAGATATTTTACTATTTACTAATATTCTATATTAAAATCGACTTATATTGTATCATTTTATTCAGCTTCATTCTTCTGACTCAATGTTTTACTCGGTTCAGCCTGTGAATGTGTATTCCTCATCAATCAAAAGCAGTAGCTTGTTTCATAAGTGGCAGAGCCTCTTTAGTCTGTTGCCTTGGCAATAATGAGGATAGTTGATGTAAAAAACCTCCTATGCAACATTTTCTGATCTAGTTTAACCCAAAAGGAAACGTTCAAATAACAATGTCATTTATTTTTATGTGTAGTAGCCAACATCAGGCTAAGTCTGCACATACGTTGCCATTTCACTGTATTCTGAATATTAAATGAGACTCTGAAGTGAAACTAACCCTAAATCACTGAATCAGTGAATTATGAGTAATTATGTTGAACCCTAATATTTTACATTTGAATCAGGCTTTGGATGGTCAGTCCTTCTGCGTTAAACACAAGAGAGGCAGAAAGTATCACTCACTCTTCACTTTGTCCTTAATGCAATCTGCCAGTGATCGGGACAGCTCTGGGGCTTCCTCGGGGTCGTACCGCATCCCAGACAGCCGCTCCCTCACCGTTTCACGAATACACTCTTTCACAATGGCTGGCTTAAACCTGGACGAAGCAAGGCAGGGAATTCAATTTAAACGCTTGTCTCTTCACACTGGCGCCAGCACAATACTGACTCCATTCAGCCAGACTCAGCGTTAAGTTAAGTTAAGTTACACTATGAACACAAATAGTTGCTAACGTAGCTTATAAAACGTAAAGTTAGCGCTGTGCTCGCTGGCTAAAGGCTAAGTTTACCAGCTAATAATGGTATTAATAATTATTTTGAGGCACTCACTTGTGCTGATGATTCGGTCGTATGAGGTACGTGTCTGTCCCCTCCATGGCATGTCAATAATGTAACGCGAGTAAACAACAACAGAGAGAAAGGCAGACGGCTGCTAACAAGCTAATCTGTGCTAAATTGTATCCGTTACCATAGCGACGTGCTTTTCCTAGTTTCCGGTTTCAGAATAAGAGCACAGTGAAGTTGGTCTGAAGAAAACTTTCAAATTAAACGTTACATAGTTACGGTACATTGGTTCACTTCTGTTAGGAATAATAGATGTAAAGTAAATTAAAAGTACATTTTCTAATAGGACAATGACCAAGCAATAGGGACAAGAAAACACTGAATTTAAAGAGTATTTAAAAAATACATAATACAGATGGAGACATGTTAAGATAAAGAAAGTTCCTTAATCAGGAAATAATCTGCTCAAAATTGATCAAAATGTCAAGTTACTGAGTTATTTGGGTTTATTTTACAGTTTTGAATATAATATGAAATATTCAGAAAATATGTCACTTAGTCAGAGGTCGTCAGTTTACTCCATCATAGAAAAGGCATCTCTTAAAGAAACCAATGCATGGGGTATTTATGTCAAATTTAACTATATCAGAGTCTTGTAAAGATATAGTAAAGCCTCTTTTTTTATATTTATGTGTTAATCCTCCTTTTTTTTATAAAAAAATACATTACGAGAAGACTTAGACTTAGACTTCACTTT